ACTTGCTGTTCTTGAAAGGGATGGGGATTTGGTTCCCAGCAGCCACATGATGGCTCACAACCGTCTGTTACTCCAGCTCTGGGGATCAAATGGCCTCTTCTGGCCTCCATGCACACTAGGCATGTATGTGGTACATATACATAAGGTAGACAAAACACTCATGCACATAAAATAAGATTTTTTTTAAAGCTTTATTTATTTATTATGTATACAGTGTTCTGTCTGTGTGTATGCCTGCAGGCCAGAAGAGGGCGCCAGATCTCATTACAGATGGTTGTGAGCCACCATGTGGGTCCTGGGACTTGAACTCAGGACCTCTGGAAGAATAGCCAGTGCTCTTAACCCCTGAGCCATGTCTCCAGCCCAAGATTTTTTTTTAAAAGCCACAGCAGCAGAAAGGAAAACAGAGGTTGTTTACAGTCAGTGGGGTGGGGGTGGGAGTGAGGATCACCATTCTTGACCTGATATTACTTCTGGGCTGATGAGAAGTTCTGGAATTAGAGCATTGTGATGATTACATGGTGCAATAGCTATAATGAACAACTGTTTCTATGTCTTAAAAAGGTGAGTTTTATAGTTTGTGAGTTATATTATTCTACACAAGTGTTCTGCCCCTGGGCCACATTCCTAGCCCTTTTATACAAAACAAACAACAAAAACATACTTTCTCTGTTAACTTGGTTTTTTTTTTCAAGATAGGGTTTCTCTGTAACTTTGGAGCCTGTCCTGGAACTCACTTTATAAACCGGTCTGACCTTGAACTCACAAAGATCTGTGCACCTCTGCCTCCTGACTGCTGGGATTAAAGGTGTGCACTGCTACCACCTGGTTTATAATTTTATTTTTTGATATGAGGCGTGGTGGTTTGAATGACAATGGCTCTCACAGGCTCACATATTTGAATGATTGATCGTCATGGAGTGGTACTATTTTGAGAGGGATTAGGAGGTGTGGCCTTGTTGGCGTGAGTGTGACCTTGTTGGAGGAAGTGTGACACTGGAGATGGGTTTTGGGGTTTCAGAAGCCCAAGCCAGTCTCAATGTGTCTCTCTTCCTGTTGCCTTCAAATGTGGAACTCTCAGCTACTTCTTAAGTACCAGGCCAGCTTGAGTACCACCATGCTTCCTGCCCTAATAATAATGGACTAAGCCGCTGAAACTCTAAGCAAGCCTAAATTAAATGTTTTTTCTTATAAGAGTTGTTGTGGACCTCGTGTCTCTTCTCAGCAATAGAACATTGACTAAGACACAAGGTTTCAATGTGGCCCTGTCTGGCCTTGAACTCACAGTGATCCATCGGCCTCTGCCTCCTGAGTGCTGGGATTAAAAGAGTTACCACACCTGCCCTTAGTTACTTTTTCATTGATATGACAAAATATCTGATAGAAACAAGTTGTGCCAGGTGGCGTTACAGAGAGGAACCCTGCCTTGAAAAATCATAAAGAAAGAAAGAAAAAAAGAAAGGAAGGAAGGAAGGAAAGAAAGAAAGAAAGAGAAGAGAACATATGTCCCTCTGGAAGCATCACAATCCCTGACTTCATACTTCCTACTACAGAGCTACAGTACTGAAAACAACCTGGTATTGGCATAAAACAGATTGGAGGACTAATGGAACTGAATAGAAGACCTGGATATTAATTCACACATCTTTGAACACCTGATCTTTGATAAAGAAGCAAAAAATATTAAATGGAAAAAAAGAAAGCATATTTAACAAGTGGTGCTGGCATAACTGGATATCAGCATGTAGAAAAATGAAAATAGATACATATCTATCACCATGCACAAAACTCAAGTCCAAATGGATCAAAGACCCTAACATAAAGCCAGTCACACTGAACCTTATAGAAGAGAAAGTGGGAAGTACTCTTGAATGCATTGGCACAGGAAACCACTTCCTAAATATAACCCCATCAGCACAACCAGTGAGAGAAACAATTAATAAATGGGACCTCCTGAAACTTAAAAGCTTCTGTAAAGCAAAGGACATGGTCAACAAGACAAAACAACAGCCTACAGAATGGGAAAAGATCTTCACTAACCCCACATCAGACAGAGGTCTGATCTCCAAAATACACAAAAAACTCAAGAAATTGGACACCAAAATGTCACATAATCCAATAAAAAAATGGAGTACAATCCTAAACAGAGAACTCTCAACTTAAGGAAATGTTCAACATCCTTAGTCATCAGAGAAATGCAAATCAAAACAACTCTGAGATTCCATCTTCCACCTGTAAGAATGGCCAAGATCAAAAACACTGATGACAACTTTTGCTGGAGAGGTTGTGGGGAAAAGAGAACACTTCTGCATTGCTGGTGGGAATGCAAACTGGTACAATCCCTTTGGATGTCACTGTGGCGATTTTTCAGAAAATTAGGAAACAACCTTCCTCAAGACCCAGTAATACCACTTTTAGGTATATATCCAAAGGATGCTCAACTGTGCCACAAGGACATGTGCTCAACTATGTTCATAGTAGCTTTGTTTGTCATAGCCAGAATCTGGAAACAACCTAAATGCCCCTCCATTGAAGAATGGATAAGAAAAATGTGGTACATTTACACAACGGAGTACTACACAACAGAAAAAAATACCGACAGCTTGAATTTTGCTGGAAAATGGATGGAGCTAGAAAACATTATTTTGAGTGAGATAACCCAGACCCATAAAGACAATTATCACATGTACTCACTCATAGGTGGTTTTTAAACATAAAGTAAAGAAAGTCAGCCTACAAACCACAATCCCAGAGAACATAGACAACAATGAGGACACTAAGGGAGACTTACATAGATCTAATCTACCTGGGAAGTAGAAAGTAGAAAAAGACAAGATCTCCTGAGTAAATTGGGAGCATGGGGACCTTGGGGGAGGGCTAATGGGGGGAGGGGAGAGGCAGGGAGGGGAGCAGAGAAAAATGTAGAGCTCAATAAATATTTTTAAAAAAGATAACAGTAGTAGGTTCCCTCTAGAGCCCATTTCCTCTCTAGCCATGGGCTTTTGACCAAGCTTTCAGTAATGCATGAATTCCCTTATGTGAAGGAGGCCTCGACTCCAATCCGAAAGTGTTCAGCTACCTCTATAGTCTTTGTTGCGTCAATGGCATATCTCACCAGGCACATCTTGTTGCTGTTGTAGTATGCAGGGTTTATGTCTAGGAAACACCAGTGTTGGTTTCTTCCCCAGCGGCCTGGACAGCGTGCTTCAGCACCGTGAAGTGAAAGCTAGCCAACGGCGGGGACCTCTCCGTGTCAGTTGCGAGGAAAATGCACAGCGTCTCAGCGATGGTGTCTCTCCTTACTGTCCATCTAGTTCTAGTGGGCAGCCAAGAGCAATGGCGGTAGCTTGTGTTGTTTTGGGTGCCTCTCTGACTAATGACTAGAAGGAGTGATTCTGCTCCTGCATCCGAGATTTTCATTTAGTAACTCTTGTCTTCTGGAGGAATCACCGTTCACCTACAGAGGGCACCTGTGTTCTAGCTTTGAAATTATAGTTTTTATGTAACTTTAAAAAAAAAAATCCTACCCAGTCTGGACGTGTCACTATGTAGACCAGGCTGGTTCAGTACCTGTAGTGACCCTCCTTCTGCTTCCCAAATGTTAGTATTACAGGCTCATGTACCACTGTTTATCTGCTTAGAGGGGTTTGGTTTGATTTTGTTTCTTCGGTTGTTGCTGGCCTTAAACTCACAGAGATCCACCTGTCTCTGCCTCCTGAGTGCTGGGGTTAAAGGTGTGCACCACCATTGCCCAGCAGAGGGGTCTTTAAAAGAGGGTGAATCTATCGGAGAGCCTCTGCTGCTGGCTTAAGGAATAAACGAGGCACTATGAGAGAGTCTATGGAGGTAGGTTATCGGATGAGGACGCGAGGATGACTTGTAGCTCCTAAGAATATTTTTGGCTGGTAGCAAGAAACAAACTCTGAATTGTGCCAACAACCTGAATGACCTTGGAAGAGGACTCCACGTTTCAGAGGAGACACAGACATAGCTAACACACTGATCAGCCTTGAGACACTGAGTAGGGAATCTAGTTTTCCTCTGCCCACACTTTTGAGCCAGAAAACTGGATTGTTTGTAATGATGGGATTGTTTCAAACCGCTAGTTTCAGTAAGTTTGATCCCAGCCTTATTGAAAGGAGTGAGACAAGTATTTGACCATGAACATCCGGATGAGTCCCACGTTCCTGTGTGTGTGTGTGTGTGTGTGTGTGTGTGTGTGCGCGCGCGCACATGTACATGCATATTCACGTACAAGCAGATACTCTAGGTTGATATCAGTTATCTTCCTCTATTACTTTCCACCTTATTTCCCAAGAGGAATCTCACTAAACTTGGAGCTCGGTATTTGGACTAGAGCTGAGTTTTTGTGGGATCTGAAATCCAGTCCTCATGTTTACACAGAAAGCACCTTATCCACTGAACCATCTCCCTAGACTCTAAAAAAAAAAAAAAAAAAAAAATCTAACTTTTGAGTCTGTTTCCTTATCTGTAAAAATGACTGAGCTTTTTTTTTAAAAAAAGGGGGGGGGACAGGGGATCACGTGACTCAGGCTGTCCTTGAATCACCCCTCCCCCTTTCCATTCTTCTGCCTCAACCTCCAAAGAGATTATTTGCCTGAAAACTACGCCCAGTAAGAAAAAATATATATTTTTTGAGACACAGGCTGCAAAGTAGGTACTGGAACTCTAATTCTTTGCCTGTAGAATGCTGGGATCATAGCCTGCAGCACTGCGCGGAACAAAGCGGTTATTTTTATTATAGTTTGACGTTATTATCGGCACAATTCCAATTTTTGATACCTCCTCCATTGTCAGATTCCAAAACCCACAGGGTCCATTGCGTGCCCTGCCTTTCCTCCCACTCCAGGACGTTCACTACGGGACCCGGGTCATTGGACCAGCAGCATCCGCAAAGCTCTGGAGTAGTTTGTCCTCAACGTGCCGCCGTACCCCACGGTACTCCACCCGCTTCCGTAGGCGCGAGCTCCGCAGTGGGCGGGCCTCCGGCTCCGCCCAGCGTGCGTCGGTGCGTGAGTCCGGCCCCCACGAGCTGCTGAGCCGCCCGCGAGCTCACACCGGCTTCTCTTCAGCCTCAGCCAGTGCGCTGTGGTCGCCGTCATGCTTGCCGCTGCCCTTCGTCGCTGTACCGTAGCCGCGGCCGCCCGAGGCTTTCTGCACCCCGTCTCGGCCCCCAGCCCCGCCGCCGGTAAGGCCCGCGCCCGCCACAGCCCGCACCCGCGTGTCCTTGCTGTGACCTGGGCTCCCGCCGCCACTCGAGGGTAGGCTCCCTGGCGGCCTAGCCTTTGCCCTGCGAGCCGGCCGCCGAGCCCGGTGACCGCAGACCGACCGCTGCCGTCTGGAGTTGTGTGGGAGACTCAAGGAAGCGCCCCCCCCAGGCCTCCCTTCTGCCACTTCCTGGTGCTGGATCCCCGACCCGTCAGGTGTGGACCTGCCGGGGTCGCTGAGGACGAGGGCTCAGCGCTCCCTTTCAGTCTCTGGGCCGTGACCGTTCCCGGCGCTGACCCCGCAGCCACCTGACCGGGAGTGGCCCCGCCGGCCTACAGCGTCTTAACGAAGGTGACATTGAGCCTCCGGGCGCGCCGCCCGCCCTGCGTTTCCTAGAACACTATTCGATTTCCCAGTGGGACACAATACACTTTTAGTCTTAATCGGGCAATTCTCTGCGGACGTTTTTTGTGTCACCTTCATAACTTGGTGCGGTCACGTTTAAGGACCGCTCTTTATCCGTGTTTAAAATAGATGACCGTATGTGGTGGTTTCTTACGGTTTGCAGCAGAGCCTGAATGTTGATGGGTATTAACCGTAAGAATGTTAACGTTTCCAAAGTTGGGTACCAAATACCCAGGAATCCTGGATGTACAAACATGGGAAAACTTCATGAATTCCCACTCCACCCATTTAAAATTAGAAGCCTGAATGCTAGCTATGAAACGCTAAGTTTTTTTGCCTGTTTCCCGCTCTGTGTGAGTTGGACATTTTGTGTCCATCACTACCCCTCTCCCCCCAGTGCTGGGGCAGAACCCAAGGCCTCCTGCATACTTGATAATTGCTCTGCTGCTTAATGCATTTTCCGCCTCCTCCACAAGGACTGTATATTTTATTTTTGTTTTTGTTTGGTTTTAGCATGTCTCACTATGTAGACCTAGCTGGCCTGGAACGCGATGTAAATCAGTCCAGCCTTGAACTCAAAGAAATAGTCATATTTTTGTGACAGGGCCTCTATGTAGGCCCAGACTGGCCTAGAACTCACAAAGGCCAGCCAGGAATTTAGTGCATTTCTTCTACCTCCCAAGTGCTGGGATTTTCGTTGGGAGCCACCACACACAACTCAAGCAAGCTTTGTACTTTTAGTTACAATAGTTGTGCGTGGATCCTGGTCTGTGGTGGTAGTGTATACTACATTATGACATTTTGTTCCAGTGTGTTAATATAAAAATAGTTCAGCCAGGTATGATGTCCCAGCACTCATAGGAAGGCAACAGCAGGTGGATCTTTTGTGTACTCCTGTCCAACGGTGGCTACATGTGAGATCCTGTCTCAACACAAACACAAACAAAAGTATCTCAAACGCTGGGTGGCGGTGGCTCATGCAAGCCTTTAATCCCAGCACTTGTGAGGCAGAGGCAGGCGGATCTCTGTGAGTTCGAGGCCAGCCTTACAGAGCGAGTTCCAGAACGGCCAGGGCTGTTAACACAGAGAAACCCTGTCTCAAAACAACAACAACAACAAAGTAACTCAGACACTCCAAAATTATGTTTCCTTGATAATTTGAACCTAAGGGATATTTTTGCTTCATTTAATTTATATATTAGCAACATAATAATCAAGTAAATGTAGAACTAGGGTTAAAAGACCCATGGGGTGTGGGGCCCACTTGCTCTTGCAGAGGACCGAGGTTCTATTCCCAGCACCCACATCCAGAGGATCTGACACCTTCTTCTGACTTCCTCAGTCACTCCATGAAGTGCAGCAAAACATGCATTTAAAAAAGCCAAGGAGATGATCGTGTTTACAGAAAAAAAATGACACCTACTTAGAGAAACTGACTTTTTTGTTAGTGGTGGGACTGTTTCCTCTTTCTTAAGTTAAGTTTGGACTATCCTGGTATTAAAATGCTGTTTAATTTTTTTCATATAGAGAAATATGAAAATTTTCTTTTTTTGCTTTTGTTTTTGAGTTGGGGTTACCCCATAGAGACCTGGCCTGCCTGGAATTTACTGTGTGGATCTGACTGATCTCAAACTTGTAGCAGCCCTTCTGCCACCGCTTCCTGGATCCTGGGATTAGAGGCACAGCACCACACTTAGCTAGATTTTTTTTTTTTTTAAGGAAAATAACCGCTTTTTCTTCTTTTTTGGAGGGGAGGGCATTGAACTTCAGGAGTTTGTTAGGAAAATTTTCTGCTTTTTTAAAGAAGGGTTAGAAAATGTTAAAGGTTTATTGTTGTTTAAGAAAACCATAGACTGGCCAGGCGGTGGTGGCGCACACCTTTAATCCCAGCACTAGCGAGGCATAGGCAGGTGGATCTCTGTGAGTTTGAGGCCAGTCTGGTTTACAAGAGCTAGTTCCAGATTAGGCTCCAAAGCTACAGAGAAAACCTTTCTCAAAAAATTAAAAGAAAATGAAACAAAACAAAAAACCAAAAACCATAGACTAAAGTTCTCTAGGTTTATTTCTGAGACTTTCTATTGGCATCATTTTAGATAATTGTACCATATATGGTATACTTAAATACTGCCACAAGGGGGCAGTATTGGTTGCAAATGATGTCTTTCTTTTTAGCTGTGTGACCCTGTACATACTAATTGACCTTAAACTTTAGTTGTCTTTTGGCAGTTGAGATAATGTTTTGGGTGCTACACAGCTTTAATCCCAGGACTGGGGAGCCAGAGGAAGGTGGACCTCTGAGTTTAAGACCAGCCTAGTCTTCAAAGCCAGTTCCAGAACAGCCATGGCTACACAGAGAAATCCTGTCTTGAAACAAACAAACAAAAATATAATGGTTTGATATCTGTGAGGTTTAAATTAGATAATGCAATTCTTGACACCTTGTCTGGCACAAAGGCTTGATATGGTCATACCAAGTATAGTCCACTCTTCCTATATGTCCTGTATTTGGTTCGTGGTTGACAGAAATGTGCAAAGCATATTTGGTTTGTTGTGATTCACTTCACTTTAAGGTTGAGATTTGTTGTTGGTATGAGATCATACGTTTTATAACTGAAAGTCAAAAAGAAGCTGGGTAAGCCGGTGGTGGTGGTGGTGCACACTCCCTTAGTTCAAGTACTCAGGAGGCAGAGGCAGGCAAATCTCTGAGTTCCAGGCCTGCCTGGTCTACAGAGAGTTCCAGAGCAACTAGGGCGACACAAAGAAACCCTGCCTCAAAAACAAAAGGAAGAAGAAGAGCCTGGACATGGTGACTTAGAGCTAGGGAGACTGAGGCAGGAGGATCATTAAGATTCCTAGACCAGTCTGGGATAGAGTTGGGACCCCATCTCGGTAAAATAAATTGAAGAAAGGTGTGTGGGGGTCCCTGGTTGGTTGGTGTTGGGATGCATTCTTTATAGTAGTGGTTCTCAACCTTACTATTGCTGTGACCCTTTAATACAGTTCATGTTCTGGTGACCCCAACAATTAAATTGTTTAGTTTCTACTTCATAAATATAATTTTGCTTTTGTTATGAATTGTAATGTAAATGTCTGATATGCAGAATTCTGATATTTAATCTCCAGGTTGAGAGCCTCTGTTCTACAGTCTTAAACTTTCTGATAGGATTAATCTCCCTCCTTAGTCAGTTTGCTCCAGGGTCCTTTCCTTCTGAGAGTGGAATTACAGTTGGGACAGCATATCCACCCAGTGTTTTATGTGGGTTCTGGGATCCAAATATACTGGGCCATTTTTCCAGCCCTTAATTTAAAAAAAAAAATATTTAGAGGCAGGGTCTCTTGTAGCTCAGGCTGGCCTTGAATCTAAGGATAACCTTAAACTCCTGATACTCCTTCCCCCACCTCTTAAGTCAGTGTTTTAAGTCAAACTCTAGTCAGCGCTGGAAATTATGATATCCAGGGAAGCTTAAAAGACCTGGAAGGGTGAAACTTTTTTTGTTTTTTGTTTTTCCTCTTGATAAAGTGCTGGACTGAAGTAGCACTTTATATTGCTTTCAGGTGCTTAACTCATAAGCCCTTGAGGTCTTAAGCTTTGCACTAAATAACCCTGCATATCATTTTCTTCTGTCCCTCATTCCTAGAATTGCCACTACCAAAGGGGACTGTTCTTGGGGCCTTCTTGTCTGTTTAATTTTTAAGCAGAAAACTATCTGATTTAACTAAATTTGGATACAAAGGATTAATGAGCCCTTTATTGTATTTTATTTTTTTTCTAATGTATAGTGTCGGGTTTTTCTAAACTTAGAACTGAATGCCAAAAGCAGTGGTAGACGTATCTTTTTGGGCAGCTGGGTGGAAGGAGACTCCTGTAGTCTGGGTAGCAGAAGATGACAGTAAATTTCTGATCAGCTTCTGCCTCTCAGGTGCCGGGTTATAGGTTTGAGTTACTACGCCCCACCTGCTCGATGTTGGAGATTGAACCCCAGGGCTTTCTGCATCCTAGGTAAGCATTTAACCAACTGAAATTGGAAGTAGAGGCAGGAAAACTAAAAGTTCAGGGTCATTCTTGTCTACATAGCAAGTTTCAAGCCGGCTACATAAGACCCTGTCTCAAAATGTACATGTGTGCATGTGCTCACATCACACAGAACCCACTTAGGCAAAGGGAATGTGTTCGGGATGCTGGTGCTGAGGTGGGGGGGTGCCTTATAATGTCTCTAAAAACAAAGTGTTAGCTGTGTGTGTGAGAAAGAGCTGGACCTGATCTAATTCCAGCTTTTGAGAGGCTGAGACAAGAGGATGGAGCATTCACACTAGCCTTCAATATGTGGGGAAATGCTGTCTCAAGAGAAAAATAAAACCTATTTATCAATATATATATATATAAAACATTGCCTTACTTGTGGGAGGAGTGTCTAAGGATAGGTCCTTAGCTAATAGAATAGGTTCTACCCATTACTGGGTTTAGAACAATCTAAACCTTGTGGGACATAGGATAGTCTGGTTGTGTGTATACCCAGTGTTTGGTTTTGTTTTTGTCTTACTGTTTTTGAAACAGGGTCTTTCTTACAACCTTGGTGGGTCTGGAACTCATGGGAGTCTATCTTGTCCTCCTGAGTAGTGGGATTAAAGCGCCACCATGCTTGGCTCAAGTGATTGTGTTATAAGGGTTTATTCTGTTTTCTGAGATTGAATTTTACTCTGTAATCTAGGCTGCCCTCAACTTCCAAAGTGTTAGTATTACAGATGTGAGTCACTATAGCCAGCGTGTCCCCCCTTCATGTTACAGTTTGTAATTTGGATTCTAGGAAGGCATAATCAAATCTTTGAAGGGCATGACCACCTTGGCTTGAATTTACAGTTGCTGATTGTCTGTTTTTACAGTTAGAAAGCAAAGCTAGCACTCATATCCACACCTAGAAGTAAACAAAAGAAATTGGCTACCATGAAGTGCTTTTCTAGGTTGAAGGTAAACCTAACAGTTGACCCAGAGTTAAAGAACTAGTCAGGCAAGGCTCTGGGATCTAATCACTGGGGAATAGAGGAATCAAACAAACAAAAAACTTAACTCTAGGAGGCTGTACATATACTTGGATTTTTCTTGAGTAAATATTTAAGAGGAAAATTACTGGATTCTATTGGTTTTTTATAATTTATTTTTTTATTTTTATTTATTATGTATATAGTGGTCTGCCTGCATGCATGCCAGAAGAGGAAACAGATCTCATCACAGATGGATGTGAGCCACCATGTGATTGCTGGGAACTGAACTCAGGACCCCTGGAAGAACAGTGCTCTTAACCCTCTGAGCCATCTCTCCAGCCTCTATAATTTTTTTTTTTTTAATGTACATTGGTACCTTGTCTGTGTGAGGGTGTCAGATCTTGGAGTTTGAGACAGTTGTTAGCTTCCATGTGGGTGCTGAGAATTGAGCCTGGGTCCTTTGGAAGAACAGTGTTCTTAACTGCTGAGCCATCTCTCCAGCTCTGTAGCTATGCTTTAATTTGATAAGAAATCACTAAGCAGTCTTTGAGAGTGGTTATACCATTTTATACTTGCACTTTAAGTAAGGATAACTTTAGTTTTTGAAAAGGTAGCTTAGAACTTCTAGGTAACCATGAGATAGAGGGTTATAAAATGTGGTGTATAAAATATGTTGGTCTTCTAAGATACTGAATATATGTGTAGTTTTGATTAAATGTTTAGATGTCAGCTTTATTTAGGTTTAGAGACCTTTTTCCTTGTCAAAGAAGTTAAAACATATCTATGTTCAGCCTATTTGTACGTGTGTTCCAATTTGTTTGGGACCAGGATTGTGCAGAAAATTTGTCCCTGGAAACTGGGCTCTTGGGCTGTGTGATCTTCTGAGACTAATAGCAGATACTTTGCTCAAGGTGCAAATTCTTTCATTTGATCTCACAGTCCCAAAATGGCTATTATACATTTTGTTTGTTTCTCTCTTTTCTATCAGTTATATTTTTTTATTTTTATTCTTTCAGTTATCATATTAAGGCTGTAACGCACTATAAGAGCTGAAGAAATGACTCATTGATTAGAAGCACTTAACTGCCCTACCATAGCACTACCGGAATTCAGTTCCCAGCACTGTCAGAAGGCTTACAATGTAACTCCAGCTCCATGACATCCAATAGCTCTGGCTTCCCAGGGTGCCTGCATTCATGTGACTATACCCACACACAGATAGTTTTACTTTTGTTAGTACTTAAATTTTGTTTTTCTTGCTTCTTGAGACTCTGCAGCCCAGGCTATGCCTAGAGTTCACTGTAGGGCAATGAATTCTTGAAATTAGCCTAGGCCACATAGCAAGATCTGCCTCAAAAATAAACAAAAAGACAACTTAATGCATTAGATAATATACATTAAGCATTCTTTATACATTTTTTTCCTCTTCTGTTGTTCTCTACTCTTTCTCCTGCCAGCTTCTATATTAAGGACATGATGCAGCACTTACATTTCAAAATAGTCTTACTGCTACTGAAGTCATTGCTCCTTTCCTTTGTAGCTGTCCAGTCCATTCGCTGCTATTCTCATGGATCACATGAGACAGATGAGGAGTTTGATGCTCGCTGGGTGACGTACTTCAACAAGCCAGACATCGATGCCTGGGAATTGCGTAAAGGTAATTGGAACATAGGCATATCTGCCTGTTTGGGTGTGTAAATATGAACTATTTTCACTACTTTATTGAAAGCAACTAGTTTGAAACAAACTGTGAGCTGATGATTGTCTCACAGCTTGTAGTTAGGAAAGCCTACAACTTCTGTAATGTTTCCTACAAAGTATGAGTTTTAAACCAGACAACAGGGCTGGAGTATAATAGTCAATGATAGAACCCTTGCCTAGCATCATAGGTTCTGGGTTTGGTCCCCAGCACTGGAAGAAAGAGAGGGAAAGGGGAGAGGGAACACATGAACTACTGACATTTAACCCAGAAAATTTTGTTGTAAGGGCCTGCCTGTTCTCTCTACTGGAGGGTGTTTAATAACATCTTTGACCTCTACCCATTAGTAAATACACCACAATTACGAAAACCAAAAACATCTCCAGATATTGCCCAGTGTGGAAATTACCTACATGACAAACCACCCTCACTGAAAATCACTGCTGCAGATACAGGCTAGCTGAGCAGTTACTAGTTCTGTGCCTTCAGCTAATGTACATGAGCAGTCATTTGATCCCCATCCCGTCTGAGGTTTTTGTTAGTTTTAAGTTATGAGTTGCAGATTTTTTTAAAAAGCAGAAGCAAATAGTATTATGTTTATCAGTCATTAGTTGTCCGTGTACTAACTATATAAGTCATCTCAAACTTAATATATAACTTACATAACCATGCGAGCGTGGTTGTTACTTTCTTGTATTTTTTTCTTCAAATTTTCAATAATAAAAGCAAGAAACCCAAGTGCTTCTAACCTCTCTGCAGGAATGTAATGGCCCCATCTTGCTGCAGCTGGGGAAGTTCTTACTGAATAACCTATGAAAAAACAGCAGTTCTGCATTCTCATCACGTCTTAATTTTCATGACGTGTTGTTCTGTGCAGACACGAAAGTAATCATGCCCTGTCATTTTATGGTTGAATGTTTTTTGAGTCTTTACACTAATGTTTCTCTATAATGTCTTAATGCCCGATTTGGGTCTCGGTATCTCTCCTTAGGTAGTCTAGTGGTTTTTAGATGATTTTAAAATCCCTATATTGTATTCACAGTTAAGCATGTAAGTTGACGAAAGCTCTAGGGTGTTTCCTTTAATCTTAATACTGTTGCATAATTCTGCTAATTCTTTGTGGAAGATTCACGGTGTTCTTACTAGTTTGTTACCGGTAGAATCCCATTTTACAAATAAAAGAACAGTGGTCCAAACTAATGAGGTCACATATTCATGATTCAGTAAGAATATAGAGAGCTGTGCCATGGAAAGTAGATAGATAACTAAATTTTAGTGTTAAGAAGGATATTTTGGGTTAATGTGACTCTTCTTTTTTTAACTTAACAGGGATGAACACACTTGTTGGTTATGATTTGGTTCCTGAGCCTAAAATCATTGATGCTGCTTTGCGTGCGTGTAGACGGTTAAATGATTTTGCTAGTGCTGTTCGCATCTTGGAGGTTGTTAAGGTCAGTAAGAGAATGACGCTAAGATTGTTCCAGAAGTAGTTGGGTCATATCACTTATCAGAATTAGTTTTACACATAATATCCTCTGAGTACAATTCTCCATGAAAGGACATATTCTGTAAGAAAGTTTAAGGAGCTGGGTGTGGTGGTGATTCCAGCACTCCTGAGTTTGAGACCAGCCTGGTATATAGAGCTAGTTCCAGGACAGCCAGGGCTACACAAAGAAACCCTGTCTTGGGGGAGAAGGGTTTAAGGTTTATAAGGGGAAAAGTGACGATACCATATGCATAATGAGTAAGATAATTAAGGGTTCTGGAAGTTATCAGTCATTCACCACTGGTAGTTAATTCAGTTAGGCCTTTAAATTGCAAGCAAATTTTAAAACTTCCCTTGTGTTAATTTAATTTTTCTGATGCCTGATGGGCATGTTTAATTACCTTTTCTTCTGTCATTACCACCTTGAACTTCTGATCCTCCTGCCTCTAATTCTTAAGTGCTAGGATTACAGGAGTAAACACCTGGTTTTGTGGTTTTGGGGACCAAACTGGAAGGTTTCAGTAGAATGCTTAATGGGCATTCTACCAACTAACTATAACCCCAGCCCTGCCAATGTGATTAAAAGCTTCCTAGTCTCATTTGTTAATAGAAATTGTTCTTACTGCCAACAGGACAAAGCAGGACCCCATAAGGAAATCTATCCCTATGTCATCCAGGAACTTAGACCGACTTTAAATGAACTGGGAATTTCCACTCCAGAGGAACTGGGCCTTGACAAAGTGTAAACTCCCCTCTGTAAGTGGTGTGTCCCTGATCAAGTCAGAAGAGTCAGTTCAGAGAGTGGTGGGTTGATGACAGCACTGCCCTGCTACATTTATTTGTTTATTCATATGTGTGGGGGAGGGAAGCATGCTTGTGCCAGAGCAACTGTGGAATCCAGAGGACAGTTTGTAGAAGTCAGTTTTCCCCTACCATGTGGGTCCTGGGGAGTCATCTCAACTTGTCAGGCTCAGCAGCAAGTGCCTTTACCTGCTGAGCCATGTCAAATAATCCCTAGATTACTATCCCATAGTTTACATTGATCTGAGTTCTAGGATTACCTGGTTTTAACCACTTTTTCTAATCAAAAAGGAAAGCTAAGTACCAGTAGTAAAATTATGAAGAGGCCGCAGAACTGGTCCCTGTAAGTTGACTGGGACTGTGTTAAAAGCAGAAAGTGCCCCAGAGTGGTGGTGATGAATTCCTGGGATTGTAGTACCAAAGGTGATTTTAGATAAGATGCTTTCCTCTCAGCACTTTGTTTGCTAATTCTTTGGATTTTCGTTTTTGTTTCTGTTTTGTTTTGTTTTTCTACAGATGGGCTTCCCAAGGACTCACTGCTATTGCTACTTGATTAAAACAGTCGCCTGGAAATTTTATTTGAACAAATTTTCCTTTGAGTATCAAACCATGTAATAGTAACTTGGACTTTAATAAAGGGAAATGAGTTTGAACTGAAATTACGTGTTGTGCCTTTTTTTTGCATTGAGAAGCAGAGGCTGAACCACCTTTAGTCCCAGCATTTAGGAGGCAGAGGATTTCTGGGTTTATGGACAGCCAGGGAGCCAGAGAAAACCCCATGTGAAAAACAAAGTCATCGGGGCTGGAGAGATGGCTCAGTGGTTAAGAGCATTGCCTGCTCTTCCAAATGTCCTGAGTTCAATTCCCGGCAACCACATGGTGGCTTACAACTATCTGTAATGAGGTCTGGTGCCCTCTTCTGGCCTGCAGACATACACACAGACAGAATATTGTATACATAATAAATAAATAAACTTTAAAAAAAAAACAACAACAAAGTCATCAAGGTAGTCTGGAGGATGTGCTGTGTAGCAGCCAGCCCTTCTAAGTGCCAGTGCCTTCCCTGCCTGCTCTAGCAGCTCTCTTAGCTTAGACACCAGTATTTGTGTTTGCTGTGATTGGTTTGGAATCCTTGTGATCAAAGATTAGAAAATGGTTTAGACCTAGAAAGAACTAAGAAAACAACTTTGTTTTACTTCAGAAGCCCCATAATACTGGAAAGGATCTCTCTGCTTTTTGCTTGTAGGTCTGGGTGACAGTGGTGTAGTCAGTCAGATTACTGTCACAGGAAAGTAGTTAAGTTGAAATTTAGATGCCTTGTGTTCTAAAGCCATGCCAGGAGTTGTTGGTAAAATTAATTTTAATAAGTTTGGTTTTTGCTGTTTTTTAAGATATATACTAAATCCATGCATGCGTTCAATCAGTAAGCCCACTTTGGAAGGTATTGAAGGTGGTAACCTTTGATAAAACTTCACCCCCTACCTGAAAACCTCTTTCTCTCAAGAAGCAGAGTTGTAAAATAAACCAAAGCAGTGAGTACATTTATCTGGTGGACAGCTAGTGGCCCTTTTTCTCAAAATCGATCACTGTGAGAACCAGCTTTTCCCACAGCTCCAGTCTCCTAGCCAGATGGTTATCGTTGCTTTGTTAGTTTCCCCCAGATGCTCTTCCTGTGGTCCCACCCATTGCTTCCCGTTTCATAACTTCTCCCAGGCTAATGGCCTGTCCTTCGAGGATCCTCTGGATGTGCCAGAGATAGATTAGAATAACTCCCTAATATAGCAAATTTAAAAGTTATGTGAACTTACATACAGGTACTATGAGGTAATAAAAGACGTTTAAGGATGTGACATTTGAGAATTGGGGTAGGGTGTTGTTAATCCTAGACCCCAAAGGTAATTTTACTTAACTGTCTTATATTTGACCTTTTCACCATTGGAGTGGGAAGAAAGGATTTTTCTTTCCCCTCGAAGTTTTGATCCTCCTGCCTCTACTTCTCAAATAATAAAATTATAGGTGTGTACCATCACACCCGTCCAGGCTCTTAATTGGAAGAATTCAGAATTATTTAAATGGTCTGTTTCCATGTTGCCATAGGAAGGAGCCAATGAGGGAACAAAGTTCACAACTATCAACCAGGGTGTATAATTGTTTCTAAGGTAATGCTGTAACAGCTTTCATGATACAAACATTGAAGTACCAACACCAACAGTAGCAGCAAACAGGAGAAGGGAAGGCAGGGAAGAAGGCGGAGCGATTGTACAGTAACTTAATGAGGATATTGGGTCAGGGTGACAGGAGTACAACCGAAAAGCACTTTAAGTCATTTTGGCTACAGTTGATTAGATGAAGAGTGAATTCTGGGAAAACATGGAGGGAAGTGATGCCATCAGCAAAAGAGGAGCTTGGTGTGAGGAAGAGAAAGTGCCATGTGGACAGGATTCTTAGACTCTGAAGAGTGAAACTGATAGGAAGGATTTAAAGTTTGAAGCTGCAAACTTTCCATGGAGGGTCCTTGGAGTATAAAATAGGCTGAAGGTTGACTTGGTGAAATGAGGTGGGTATCTTTCTTTATACTATAGACCAGTCGTTCAACCTCCCTAATGCTGCCACCTTTAATCCAGTTCTTCATGTTGTGGTGACCCTGGAACGTAAAATTAGTTTTGTTGCTACTTTTTAACTAATTTTGCTACTGTTACGAAATTATAATGTAAATATCTGTGTTTTCCAGTGGTCTTAGGTGATCCTCTGTGAAAGAGCTGTTCAATAAACCACGGCGGGGTTGCCACCCATAGGTTGAGAATCAGCTCTGAGAGATAGGTGTTTTCAGACCAGCAAGATGACTCGGGGGGGGGGGGGGGGGGCAAGGGGGCTTGCTGTGAAGCACGATGATCTGAGTCGGATCCCCACAGCCCACACAATGGAAGGAGAGAACAAATTCCAAGTTACTCTCTGACGCTCACACTAGTGTGCACACAAGCATACACGTACATACACACACATATATATAATACTGTTAAAAGTTGTTTAGCAGCCGGGCAGTGGTGGTGCAAGCCTTTAATAGCAGCACTCGGGAGGCAGAGGCAGGTGGATCTCTTGAGTTCAAGGCCAGCTTGGTCTGTCTACAAGAGCTAGTTCCAGGACTGGCTCCAAAGCAACACAGAGAAACCCTGTCTCGAAAAACAACAACAAAAGTTGTTTGGCATATGATAGAGTACTTTTCTAGCATATTTGAGTCACTAGGTTCAATTATTAGTATCCACCACCACCCCAAAAAAGCATAATATAATACAGTTCATATTTTTGCAGTTCAGTCCATTGTAGAATATCCCATAATCTGCCTTTCTGACTGTTCACTCATTAAATTTCAGCTAGGCAATTTGGTACAAATGCTATGCTGTTTTAGACATGATGGCTTTAGTCTCACACTTGAGAGGCAGAGAGACATGTGGATCACTGAGTTCACATATAGTGAGTTCCAGGCCGGACAGAGCTACAAAAACCTTTTTGCTCTATGATATATTAGTTGTATCCCTCTCAGGAGGGGCAGGATGATCCTAGCTTTTTGTCTTGATTTTCAAAACAGTTTCTCTGTGTGGTCCTGGCTGTGTACAGAACTTGCTCTGTAGATCATGCTGTCCTCAAACTCAGGTATCTGCTTGCCTCTGCCTCCTGATTGCTGAAATTAAGTGTTTGCCAAGATGGGCTTGGTGTTGCACTCCTTTAATCCCAGCACTTGGGAGGCAGAGGCAAGAAGATCTCTGAGTTTGAGGCCAACCTAGTCTACGAGTGAGTTTCAGGACAGTCAGGGAACACAGAGAAACCCTGTCTGGGTGGAGTAGGAGGAGTGTTTGCCGCCACACCAGACCTAATCTAGCTTCTTTTTTTTTTTTTCATTTGTGTTTGTGTGTGTGGAGTTCAGGGACAACTTGCAAGATTCAGTTCGCTTCACTGTGGTTCAGGTACTTGTCAGACATAGTGACAAATGCCTTTACTGGCTAAGTCATCTTGTTCTAGCTTTTTACATCTTCCTACCAGATTATGGCAAGCAGCAGAATGAGTAAAGTCGGAAATCGGGTTTAGATTCAGACCTGTGTTCAAACTCATCTGCCAAATAGCAATTCCTCAGACAAGATTACAGCTTAATGGTGAGGGTAAGTGTTTCTGCTGCTAACGCCCATCTTCTGCCCCCCCACCTCTGAATTAGGCAGCTTCGTCGTCATTATTCCCAGTGACCTTTATGGACCAAAGGGGTTAGGAACAAATGAAAGGATAGATAGGGCACTTAAACTGCTTTCCTTACAAGTCTAGGGAAGAGAGACAAAGGAAACAAAATCGGCCAATACAAATAGCTTCAAGAATTGAGGTATAAAGCTGGGCAGTGGTGGTGCACGCCTTTTATCCTAGCACTCAACAGGCAGAGGCAGGCGGATATCTGTGAATTCAAGGTCAGCCTGTCTACAGAGTGAGTTCCAGGACAGCCAGGGCTGTTACAGAGAAACCCTTTTTGGGGGTTGGAGGATTGAGGTATAGACCACTTTGCTATCACACCAATGAAACTGGTTTGGCAATTTGGCTATTTCTCTAATCTTGATTTCTTGGGTCAGCTTCAGTCTGGTGACTTGGAATTTTGTGGGTTAGCCTGATCTTGTGAGTATTGGTCTTACTCCAAGGAAATTGTGTTGTTTACTCTCAGGGCTGGGAATGGACTCAGGACCTCGTCGTGTCTTAGGCAACAATCAACAACTGAGCTGTATTCCCCAGCCCCTCTCTAGTATCTGTAACAGAACCCATATAACTGGGTGGTTATCTTTCTTGAGCTGTGCTTTTTTTCTCAAGATGTGTAGTGCCTCACAGGACTGCAATGTGAATGAAAGACTAGTGACTTATATCTCTTTACTGTCGTGTGTGTGACAGCTGTGTTGGGGAAATGCCCTAAACCTAGTTAGTCATTCTCCAGGTTTCATAAGATAACACTTCAATCTTTCCTATTCAGTTGTATAGCAGGGGACCTGGCCTTGGTACACGGCCTTCTGTTTTGCAGAAGCATTGTTCAGTTAGTCGTTTTCCTACATTGACTAAGTTTAGTTCAGTAGCAAAAATGACATAATTCTGCACTGTGCTTGGGTTTCCAAAACTGCGCCTGCTTCTGCACTTGATTAACTTTGCCCAGCGTCTGAAATATACATGTATTCAGATATAATTGTGAATGACAGAGTCTCATATAATTAGGCTGGCATCTAGCTTGCTGCTAGCTGAAGATGACCTTGAGTCTCTTGCCTCCACAACTTGCAAATGCTGGGATAGGCACACCTGTGCCACCAAACCTGACTAAAAACCTCTTAATTAGAGCCTTTTGGAGGTAGATTCCGTACATTTCCTGAACACATGGGAAATATTAAAAACACAGTTGACTGGCATAAAAAGGACAGGAGGGGTCAAAAAGCCAAGATGGAAGTCTTTGATTCTAATAGCTAAGAATCAAGATTCTCCCATTCCCACCAGCAAAGAAAAAAATGAACTGGGGACCAAGTGTCTTTCCTGTAGTCTGCAGTGCTTGTTATTACACCTTCCACATCCCAGGAAATGAAGTTATTGCTGAGTAGAAGAGGGAAGGGGATTCAGCACAGTCCCTGTGGCTCGGGTCTCAGGAACCTGG